TGCCAAGAAGCCATGGCGGATGTGGCTGGCAGACGGAGAGAATTTGCGCATTACTACGACTTCGGGGGCGGCAAGAGGAGGAATATTCATGTCTCCTTCTAAGTAAAACATGACCGGGAGCTGAAAGAGGGTGCTCCAAGAGCGGGAGATGGAGACGACCCGGGAGAATTTAATAGGAGATCCTGTCTCTGGCAGGCTGGAACCCTGGGGATGATTCCCGCAGATGAACCCCACGAATTTTATAATTTTCGTTTACGAGTCCCTACAGCCTCCTTCCTCACCCCATTCTTAATCTGTTCCCATCAGGATGCCCCATGTCATTTACCCTGAGTGGGAGTTTTTGTTGAGCCAGAGATAACGGCCATCGCCAAGGACGGTCTAACTCAACCCGCAACAGCAAAGGTTGCGGTACACCCACGCGTGGACAGACGCGCACCACGCACACAGACACACGCAGGTATTTGCCAAGGGTAAACACAGAGAGTTAAAGGCCCAAATGGAGTCTGAAGAAAAAAAAAAAGGCTCTGTTAGACTTCAACTTTTGGTGTCAATTTAGACTGGATTAGTACAGGCTTCTTAAAATATCCAATTTTTACATCCCCTAGGAAGAGTACCGCTGCCACAACCTCTTGCACGTCGACAACCCGGCGGCGCGACGTAGCAGAGTGAGGAGCCCCTTCGCAGCGGTGGACACGCTTTGCTTCGCCGGGAATGCGGCGTCCAGCGCTCTGCCTTCTGTCTAGTGTTTCCCACAGATCTGTCAAGACCGATTTGGAAGGAGGCTCCCTCATTTGGGATTAATTTCCAGGCAGATTGGAAAGTGTATTTCTACAGGGTTTTCTTTCTTTTTTTCTTTTTTCTTTTCTCTTTTTTTTCACCCCTCCCCGCTTGTTCCAGACCGAGATTTAAAAGCTATTAAGTCTCTTTCGCTTGCTTAGTCACAGCAAGGATGTCATAAGGATCCTCAAAACTTTTCAAACTGATTTATTTTTCTCAGTTTACAGCTCTCCTTGCTGATATATAGCTGAGGTGAGATCAGAGCGACCGCATTCAAAGGGTAATACGCCGATTTCAGCGTTACAGCTGTTGAAAGGTGCTCCGTATAAGAAAAGCAAACGAAACATTTCCCTTTCCCAAAACAAGGAAATAATAAGGGGCATTAAAGTATTGCTAGAGTGATGTACTCATAAATCGGGGGGCTCCCTTCAACGTGCTAAGCCTGGAGAAGGAAAGACACATCACAAAGTCTTTATCCGCGGGATATTTATTTTCCTTTGCCGGTCAGCAGGGTGTCAGTAACTTTTGAGCGATACTGTCTAATTACGACAGGGAACCCATGATGCCTCTTCAGTTTCGCTAATAAAACCAAGTCTTGTCGGCTTTGAAAATGGAAGGTAGTTTTGACATATTGTGCAACGACTTAGCGCCTCAAAAACTAGTATTTAGTGCGAATGGGTGATCAAACCAGAAAGCCTATTTTTACATTTTTAATGGGTAGTGTTAACAATAATGGCATAATTATCACTGTTTTATTAAGGCTAATTTTTTACGACATGGTTAGAAGTGGAACCTTGGAGAGAAGAGACTAATAGGCGCATTATTCTGGAGTGTAAAGACAGCTAGTACAATGAGAGCACACAACACGTAAGTGGCGTTGAGGAGAGAGAGGACAGAGCCATGAGTGGGATGTGCCTAAGAGAGCATGTAATAGTATTTACACGATCCGATCCAAGGCTCGTTTCTGGTTCCATGTAGCTTTGAATGTCTGATCTCGGCATCTCCGCATAGGGCATCCGCCTGCTGTTCTTTGTTCTTTGTTGTTTGTTTTTTGTTTTGGGGTTTTTTTTTACCTGTTGACTGCTCAAAGGAGCGTTTCCCTGCCACCGCAGGAGGCTCTGAAGGCTTTTACTTTGTTCGATCAAACTCGAGGTTTGGGGGTGGTGGTGGTGGAAAGGCCTGATTCCTGTTTTAGGACACTCGGGAGGGATTTGCCCGTGGAAACTAGTTCTGATGCTTTACTGATTGCAGTGAGTGAACGAGTCAGTCGTGCAGGAATTTGGACTTTCGATTTCAATTGCTATCAGTTCCTGACTCGTCGAGAGCCAAAACTCTACGTCAATCTTTTAATGTTAGAATGAACGGCAGAGACACGATCTGCGTGACAAACTCTCTCAATTGAATGCAGAAGAGTATTTATGGTGTGAATTTAGTCAGGTGGAAGGCACAGGTAAGTTAAAGTCAACAGTATTTCAGTGGCCCCCGTGAAGAGATTTTTTTTTTAAAGATTTGATTTAACAGGGATTGATCTCGCAGCCCTCCGTGCCTCGCATCTTCGCGAAACCTCCCCGCGGATGACGGCGTCTCCTGAGACCTGGTGCGCCTAAGCATATCTTAAAGAAACACTGAGAGGTTTCAGGATGTCTTTAGGTGCTCAAAAAAAGAACCTTAAGGGGGGATGTGGCATCACCGAGACGCAGGAACGTCAGAGGCTGCAGATGTGCGACGGCGTTTAGTGTTTTGCTTATGTTTTCCTCCTGTACACAAACACCCTTCTTTTATTCCCAT